GTCATCATGTTGTTACTTACCTGCTTATCTTACTGTTCCTGGGTTCGTTCTGTTCTGGTAACAACAGCCATGTTGCACTGTATGTGTAGCTCTTATGTTGGTTTTTATTTAATTGTTTGACATGCACTGATTTGAATTGCTTACCGCGGTAGTTACTGTCGTTTGTTTATTCAAATGGCTGTGTATGAGCGTATCATTAGAGAAATATGAATTGTAGATGAGGAGTTAATTCCATTTAATTGGTTTGTCCCAATTTTGATGGCAGGAAATATTAGGCTAGTATTTAAACCACATGTTGTAAGTTAGGACCAAAAAAAGGATGTGTTCTCAAGGACTGTGCCCAGATAAGGGTTTCTCTGCATTGTTTAGTGCTAGGTTTGCTGCTCCAACCATTCTCTTTGTGGTTTTGTGTAGCCCGGTGAAGGTGCTCCGTTTGTGCACTAGGCCTATATTTAAATTCGTTTTGTTATTTGGTTTATTTCCTTTTTGCTTGTTTGTACTTTGTATTTAGTTATCACCCTCATTTGTGTCTGTGGGGAGAAAATAAACCACTTTTTGCACTTCATTCTCCTTGTCGGACCATGCCTATCTAGTTCCTCCCTAGACCATCGGAACCACGATATCTGACTTTGATGGCCATAAGGCTAGCAAGTTCAGTCACCTAAAAGTTTGCACATTTTCAGTATTTGCACACTCAATTCAATGAATAAATTTTTACAATTCATCTTATTTTAGGCAGTTTTACAAAGAATGGTGCCTCACAAACCTCCCAATTTACACGCTATCAGTTATCGCAATCAGTTTCTTTGTGTTATTGACAATGTGTCCAACCAATCACAAGTTAAGTATGGAGTGCCACAGGGTTCAGTATTAGGTCCTCTACTTTTCTCCTTGTATATGCTTCGCTTATTGTGGTCCCATGAACGGCAGTTCAGTTTTGCATGTATTACACATGACAAGATTGATTGTTTATAATTTTGTAAAACTTTTGCACACTTTACTGCATCATCTCTATCATGACGTCCTGTGCTGTTATTCTACCCGGCTCCATACATGGCTCTGGCACTCCTGTGGTCAAAATGTTTTATTGCCGGATCAAAAGACTATTTGCAAACTAAGGTATCAGTGAACAGTTTTTTTGTTGTCGACATTGTTGATTGATTCGGCCCTAATGATTGTATGGGCACAGGTCTAACAAATAGCTTGAATGCACCGTAAGTCGCTTTGGATAAAAGGATCTGCCAAATGAATAAATGTGAAATGACACTACAACTGTTCCTGCAATTACTACAATGACAAGTTCATTTTTTTAATGATAATAAATCACCTAATAACTACCATATTTCTGTTCATAAGGGAAAAGACCCAGAAGACGTGGACGAGGTGGCCGTCGGTATTGAAAAGGGTTTCATGGACGAGTTCTTTGAGCAGGTTTGATATTAATATTAATATATTTCACTAATGAAATCTCCTTCTCTGGGATTTGTTTCCTGCTGCTGCATGATGCTCTATAATGATACACAATTAACACATCATGTTAAGACTGCCATAAAACAGATTCACAGAAGAGCTTAAATGTGTTTGAACAGAGTCAGCACTAAACTTTGCAGTTGTGTTCTATTTATCAAGTAACACTGATAACTTATTTTAACCTGTTATATAAGATACATATGCAAACATACACTATACATATATAAATCAGCAGTTGACATATGCACAGGAAAACAAATGACTGCTGATCAGATTTGTGTTTGAAATATGAAAACATATTGGTAAGCATTATTTATTTAATTAATACATTTTTTGTAAAACTCTTTAAGTTTTGTGACTCAACTATCTGTGTGTGAATTTATTTGAAATTTTGAGTCAGGTCTAACCCTGCAGAGATATGTGAAACAAGCTTTACTGTTAACGAACAACATGTATTTGATCCGTTCTGAACTTCCTCTTATCTCTCAGGTAGAGGAGATTCAAGGGTTCATTGACTCTCTGGCAGAGAAAGTAGAAGAAGTGAAAATAAACCACAGCGCCATCCTGGCCTCTCCAAACCCAGACGAGAGTAAGATCCTGCTACACATAAAGCCTTAATTAACTCACAAACGTAAATGGAAAAGATTACAGTCTGTCGATCAGCTTCACCATTACAAATAATTTGTGTATCTCTGTAAGAACTTGCATGAACATTTAACTAGATTTCAGACATTACAACAGGACTGTTCTGATTGGCTGCATTCGCACAGCTACAGAATGTGGAGGTCGGTCCTGCTTCCGATGTTCAATACACTTCTGTTTACACTC